CCCCAAAACCCCAAAACCCCAAAACCCCTTTCATCATTTATGCCATAAAATTAGTGAAATATCAAATTAAAGGCATATATTTATTAATCAAAGGATTAATAGGATGGAGAAAAGCGATCAAGAACAACTATAAGAAAAGACCACTACCCCAGATTAGATGCTGATCCAAGGCAAGGTAGATAGATTTAAGGGCATGGAAGTTATCTCTATGGATTCTCTAGCTGATACGGAAGAAAGTGGAAGGAAGATGGAATAAGATCGGTTTAGATATAGTTCTCACCACCTAAGTGCCATTTAATGAATGTGGCTGTGAAACATGGATTCTACTTTCATCACGCTAACGCCAAAGGAGGTTATGTGCTCATGTGCTTATGGCTTGATTAAACCACTCATGATAAGATCCCTTCTTACCCTGATCATTACACTGGAGTTGGAGGCGCTATAATAAATGACAAGGATGAGATTCTCATGATTTAGGAGAATAGATCAGCTGAGCCGAGACCTTGGAAGCTTCCAGGAGGCTTTATGGATCCAGGTGAGACTATCAAGCAATCAGCAGAGAGAGAGGTCTACGAAGAGACTGGTATAAAGTCTGAATTTGTTGGACTACTAGGAATCAGAGAGCTTTTGCAGTTCAAGTATGGAGCTACTGATCTTTATATCGTGTGCTTAATGAAAATGAATGAAGGTCAGGAGATTAATATCTTAGATAAACGAGAGGTGCATGCAGCTCAGTGGATTCCGATCAGAGAGATCATAAGCAATGAGGATGGGATATGCAAGTACAAGCTATTTCAAAATGCCTACCAATTCGTCTCTGGAATCAATAAACTATACCTAGAATATAAGCAGGGAGAGGAGGAAGGCATTAGCAATGCTGGCAGTTTAAGTGAGTATGTGAGGAGTTAAGCAATGACATACTCTGAATTTGAGCCCAAAAATACAAGCTCTGCTAAGTACTCAATCTCAGAGGCTAACACTTGGAAGTTTTACTTGCCGTAAGCCTTCAAGTCTGAAACTAAGCTGTGAAAAATAGAATAATTTAAAATATACCAATGTGAATTTTGATGTTAATATCTTATGTTAACATGAATAATTCGAAAATAAACGTTAATTGTGTTAATAAGTGAAAATGATTAAAAAGATATATATTTAACTTGATCATTGGTGACCATGGCCAGCATGTCCTCCTCCAAATCCAAGTCCATGTCCCCCATGAGCATGTCCATGGCTATGTCCGCCTAATCCTACTAGGTTTTATCCACCACCTCCAGCAACGTTAGCATTCGAGGCAGTATGTTGAAACTGTTGCTGATTGTTGATTTCCCGAATAAGCGCACTAGCTTCTTCTCTTTCGGTACCACTATAATCATGCAATCTTCTCGCATAGTCTATTGCTTCCTTCAGCAGACCCTAGGACTTGCAATACTTAGCCAGATACATTAAAGCCTCTGTCGTCTCTGATGACTCAGTCTCCTCGTTATCTTTGCGTCGTAAATTCTCTTTGAAGCAGGTGGCAGCTTTATCGTACTCACCCATTTATATGTAAAGTTTAGCTAGTTTATGCATGGCTATACCCTCTTTATCCTTGTATCTCTCTCCCTTCTCATGGCATTTTATAGCTTCTTCTTTTCTATCCATTTTCTCATAGCAACCACCCATCGCTATCCACATTCTAGAGTCTTGAGGTCTAATTATAATTATTTATACGGAGATTGACTTACTTCGAAAGAGCAGCGTTGGCATAGTAATGAGCAGCATAGTTGTACATTTGATTGATTTCATAAGTCTAACCTAGACCGTACCAAGCTCTAAAATCCTTAGGATCAATATCTACTGCTGTTCTGTAGCTCTCAATAGCTGCATTTGTATTTTTCATTTCAAGGTATTCATGCCCCATTAAAGTCCAAGCCGATAAGAACTTGTTATCAAGCTTGACTGCTCTCTTAAAGTAAATGACTGCCTTGTGATGATCTCCTCTTAAACTGTAGTAGTTTCCTATCACACAGCATGACTCTGGTCTGTACTTATCGTTGTGGAAGACTTTGTAAGCTAAATGAGCCAACTCGCCAAAGTTCTCCTTAATGTACAAGATATTTGAATACAGATCCATGTTTTCAAATCTGAAGGGATCAACTGATATCAGCTTCGAGAACCAATCCAGAGCAGCATCATACTCTTAAGATGCATAGCTTGCATGAGCAATCTAGTTAAGAATGTAAACGCTGTTTGGGAAGTATCTCAATAAAGTCCCGTTAAGGTTAATGCAATCGCTATCTTGTTAAATCTCAAGATAGAAGTTAGCGAAGTAAAAGTTGTTCATCCAGTGCTCTTTTATCTATGCAAATACCTCTCTTTCAGTCTACTTTATCATTGAACCAAGCTCTAGCCAAGCTGACCATAGTAGTGGCTACTTGTTTAAGGCTTAAATCAGAACTTATTTAGCCTCGTCCTTCTTATTTTTCTCTCTTAAAATGACACCATATAGATATAAGTTGATGCCATTAAGCAAATCCTTCTGGTATAATGACTGCAAATCAGCCTCGATCAAGGCTAGCTCCTTATTTTAGACAGATGAGCAAGATATCTTGTCGCCAGTTTGGAGGATTTCTTCTTCCTTAGTCATCTCTGAAACTTGGAATAGGGAGTAATAGTGCAGAAATAGGGCAGATTAGTTTTTATGATTAGCAAGAGGCTTGAGTAGATTAGAGCACTTGCGATACTCTCTTAGATCAAACAGAGCTCTAGCTAAGTTTAAAGTATCAGTGGCCTCGCTGGGTTTTTCGAAAAAGACTTTGTTGAAGTTAGTGCTTGGATTATATTCAAGCTGCTCGCTAATGTCAGACTGCTCAGTGAATCTCAAATTCATCTGCCACTAACTAGAATCTGCACTGTTCATCTAAATATCGTTTGAGCTGTCCTCTCCCAGACTAAATGAGCCGTTTATTGCACTGTTTTACTGATTAGTGATGGTTACCAATAACTCACCAAGCCTATAAGCAGACATTAGATTAATGCATCAAAGAAATTAAATGTATTACCATTTTGTAGAAGCAAGTAGCCTGTTTGACTGATAGTAACTCATGTAAAATCTGATTTCGCGGGCAAGTGAGTTTCTATCAGGAAGGGCTTTGAAAAGCAAGGACTCGTCTTTAAGGCCGAAATCGTTGAAGACTGCAGCTGCAGGAGTGTTTTAATAATTGTTCCACATTTAAATTTTGAAATTTTAAAATAATATTTGTAAATTATTACTTCATTCAAAAATGTTTATAATATTAAATTAGATTAGCAATCAAATTAGAGAATGTTTGCTTGTGAATCAATGCTCAAGAATGGAAGCATAGCCACTCTAGAAATGTGTATCAATAAATCGAATTAATAAACTTCAATTTAGATAACAACCAGCCTAGGTGGTGGATAAAAGACGCAATACTGACAGAGAGAGCATTCTATCTGTTTCAAGAGAAAGGGGATCTGCTTGGAGAAGAATATGGTAAGAAACTAATTTCATAATAAATCAAATAACCTATTCAGATAAGCTGGAAATGTCTTAATTTCGTTAATCCAGAGTGATAATAGATGATAACAACCCGCCCCCTCCTTATATGAAGCAGCTGCCTTAGCTTAAAATGCCATTCTCTCACATTATTGAGATGATGAACAAGAAGACCTAGAAACGAAGAGTGCTTGCCTGCGACAGTGCCGCCTAAGCAGAGGAATATGTCAACCTCATGAACCTAGTCAACTCCTACTTGAACTACGAACTGCTCTTCACTCAAGACGATTCTACTTATCAAGAAGCTAATAAGAAGGAAAAAGATGAGAAGCACAAGACCAGTGAGAATGACCAAACCAATCAAAGCAACATTCAACAGCCCAGAAAGAGTGGTCCTATTTTCATTACAAACTGGGTGCAGAGTTATAACCAACACAATGGCACTCTTGAGTTTAAAGAGGAAGTATTCGACCCTGAGAACTTCCCCTATTTGCTATCCTTCGGAAGAGAGAATGATTCAGTCAAGTCTCTTTACTTTCCAGGAGATAGTGTCCTATTTGCAGGGAATGAGCAGCATTGGCTCGGAGCTGTCTAGCAAGTGCTCTCTACTTTCAGCAGAGAAAGTGTCACTTCAGTCATATTTAGAGGGAATTTCATGATCGACCAAGTACTTAAAAGCCTTATCTCTTCAATTGCATAGTATGAAAGGCTAATTAGCATAGAGATTTCAAATAATGGTTTAGCCAATTAAAGTCTTGAAAGCCTGGGTATAATCTTTTCTAACTGCCCCTTAATCACTAAGATTAATCTAAGCAACAACCTGCTCGGTCAAGGAAACGGTCAATAGCATGCATTAGAGTTGTTCTTAACTCATCTTTTAACAGAATTAGATCATCCACAGAATCTAGACCTCTCTGACAACAAATTCAGCGATGAAAGCTTGATGCCTTTCATTAAGTTCATATTCGCCAATGAGGACTGCAAACTATAACTATTTAATCTTGAGAACAACAACTTCTCATCCTTTGGAAAGAGGACATTGCTGAAGGGCTACTCTATGAGTTAGAACAAGCAATAGCTATAATTCAAGTGCGGACCAATGCCATTCACAGAAGCCTCACTCAAGCATGCTTTTAATGTGCAGTATGAAACCAAAGTTACCACAAGCAAGGGGAAAGAATCTGAACCTCAAAAGGTTCTTAAGTCAATGAATAGGGACAATCTAGAAATGAGAATAGTCAGAAAGCCAAATTACGGAGGCATGTACTTACGAGGCCTCCCAATAAGCAAGCCAGACAGAGATAAATTATATCAAATATTTGGAAAGATAGAAACTACTGTCTAGCTTAGACACAACGTATTCATTGAGGACATTAGAGATCTGTTACAAGAAATTTCACAGCTGACATTCGAGTTCCCTAGACACAAGCTGGAGGCACTGTTTGATGTAGTGAATGAAAAGCTCTTTCAAAGTATGGAATGCGAAAACATCTACTGCCTAGAAGTGCTCTTAGATTGTCTCAGATTCATGAATGCCAGGAATATTAAAGCTGAGGAGAAGTATCAAGAACTCTCAATAATTGCTGCTAGCGTTGCTAAAGATTTGCTTAAGGTTTTAAATATGGAGTTGCTAGATGATAATGAACTAAACACAATGCTTGACAATTCGCTTAATGAAGCCAAGAGAATCGGAATGCGAGGAGAGATAATAGACGTAGCAATCACTTTGAAAATGCTTCGCAACAACTTCCTAACTGAAATGCAAAATAAAAGTGCGAATTCTGATGATGAAGGGCAAGGAGTGGGCGAGGATCAGCAATAGTTGGAGTACTATGATGAGGATAAGACTATGAATGTATACGATGAGAAGTATGATTAGTATGTGGAGCTAAGTGCAGAGGAACTTGGACTGACTTCAGAAGTTGAGCCTAATCTTGGTTTTCATCCATTTACCAGCGACTACCTCAAAATAAGCAATCTGAATCTAAACTATGTCAAGAAGAATCTGAAGGAAGCGTAGAAGTTCTTAAGAGACGAAGAATCATATGCCTATAGAAATATATTTGATAGATGCTACTTTTTGCTTTGCGACTGCACAGAGGATAACACTTAGTCCTCTAAAGCCTACAATCTAGCTAAAAATGATTAGAACTTGAAACTGGCAAGAATTATATTCAGATACAGGAATAGTTTGGATAATTTGTTTACATCTAAGCCTGAGCCTTATCCATCACAATTAGTCATAAGGTAGCAAGATGGACAACAAGAAGGGAGACGCAGAAGCACATTAGTGTCTTAGCAGCCAAACATTAAGGCTGAGGAGAACAAGATTCATTAATACAAATACCTGTTGAACAAGGACTACCTGGAGTTTAATGGAACCAAACTAACCCATCCAGTGACCAAGATAGATAAGAATAAGGCTCCCTAGGCCGTGGCTTTCAATAGGAACATATATTCTATCTGTGAAACAGATGACTTTACCAAGAACACCCTGTATGCTAAGATATAGGAGTTGTTTGAAGAGTTTGTTGTTAAAAAGAGCAAAATCATTAATGAAGACTTGACTGATGAGTTCTTCATGCAGATTTACAGATAGATCAACAGAAAAAATCAGACTTAGAGCGAGAAATCAGCAAAAGCCATTTCTAATGCTCTGTTCATTCTAGCTATATTCTCAAGGTATGCTTCTCCGAGCAAGGATTTGTTCGAAGCCTACGAAATCTGGCTTAATTAACTCAGAGATAAAAGTGGGACAGAGTTCTTCAGATTGATATCAATAGTGATCAACAACTTCAACATAATGAAACAAATCGATTAGAATACCAAGCCGTATGTGTACTGGCCACCTTGCTTTGCTGAAATCGAATCAGTCATCACTGGAGAGCCAATCTACATTTAAATCTACACTCCAGTTGGGGATGTGTATCAGTACAGTGTAGATGAGACAACGACGGTTGAGACTCTGCTGACTTAGAATATTTGGAAGGAGAAGTTCTTTGCCAAGGAGCCTGACTGCGAGTTCTACTGGCTGTACTAGCATGTGGAAAAGTCTGACCAGTTTGATCAGCCATTGTCCAAGGATAAGAAGATACTCAAACTAATGTATAAAAATGAGAAGACGCAGGGTCTGCTTCAGAGGACCTCAGGGTATAAGGACAATTTTGATAATTCATCTAATTCACCAGTCAGAAAATACTCTTTTATCAAAAAAAAGTCGACTAAATTCATGAGAAAACAGACAATAGTGTCTACAATGGATACACTTTAGGAAAATGAGTATCAAAGTACTATCTTACTCATGCGAAAGCGTCTGTTCTCAGCTCTACACTTAGATAAAAATGTGAAAACTCTGGCTAAGAAGCCACTTAACTTCCTTTACCATTAAGTGCGAATGGACTATATAGAAAAGAACATCTTGCGAAGACTGAGTAACTACGAGGACGTGAGTCTGTTTGCTGCGCTCATTTTGAAAGTAAAGTATTGGGGCAAGATTCTAAGATCAAAGGACAACTCGCTTACAAAGGAATTGATCATCAAGAATATTGACTATGCTCTTCCTCAGACGTTTATGCGAGAAAAGCCTCAGGAGTACTGGGTTTAGAAGATTCAAAAGGACTTCGACAGACACAGTCTTCGAGAACTGTCGATAGAAGAGGCCTAGGAGAGATTTCTGAATCATTTTGCGCATTATCACCTTGCCTACTCTAGCTACTATGTCATGACAGCGCAGTCGCTTAAAGATTTGACAGACCTAAACATGCTCAAGCAGTTTGAGTTAGACGATGGGGATGATATGATGAGCAATGGCAGTAGAAGTAACAGGGACACGTTTTTGCAGCAGCATATGAATCATGATCTGCTCTGTGTAATAAACTTCAACGGTATCAGCTTCTATGAGAATCTGAAGCGAGATAAAGTCATTTAAAGAATCCAATTCGATGAAATACTCTATGTAATGGGCTCAAGCGATACAATCAAGGTTGGATTCATTAACAAAATGCAGGTCAAGAACTAAGATGTGAAGGTTGATCTGTTTACTACGAATGGATTGAATGCAAGAATAGTGGCAGAGGACATTATTGCCTACTGTCAACTCAGATTGGCTGAGTGCTCAAGGAATGAGTTCATTGAGATTGTAAAGCGAAACATCATAAACATATTCGAAGATATGGAGGATCCCTTCGCCAACCCTGATGACGACAACTTTAGTCCAAACAGGTCAAACAACACATTCAGGAAATCGTCGAACATTGGCTAAGTTAGAAAGAGCAACATTGGAGCATTTGATTTCCTCGGAGAAGGGGATATGTCTCAAGCCTCACCAGGTAAAGAGTACGAAAATTACCAAAATTCAGCAAAACAGATTCAGCTCAAAATATAGCAATAGAGAGGTCATTAATTCAGATTGAAGGAAAAACTATTGATATACTTGAAAAAGTACCCTTTATACATGCAAAAGCAGTTGGCTACAGATAAAGGCTCAGAGTCTTAAAAAAATTTGCCTCCTCTTCGGAGTAGTTCTATTGTTGGGCCTGCTGGAGGTGCAGCTGGTACTTCTTTCAATACAAAGGATCGATCTAGTATCTTTAAAATGCAGCTATCCACTTAGAGAATTGAAGAAGACAAGGAAGAAGATGAAGATGACTCTGCTAGCATCAAAGATTACTACACTGCAGATGATGTCTCGAATGCCTACAACACAAACAACTCTGTCCTCATTAAGTAGGCAGATAAAAAGGTACACTCAAACAAAAGTGACTATGACAAGTACCCTAAAACATCCCCAGGTGGTCTTTCAAATAAGTCTGCTGTTACTCAGGGAAAATCAATAAATAATTCGTAGATCTCAGACAACTCTTCCAGCAATAAAGGCAGGCAATAGCCGCAGAGGTAGCAGAACTAATAGAGCCAAAACTTTTAAAACTAGCAATGAGAGATGATAAAATCTCAGAAATCTAACTTTTCATTCAAGTAAAATCAAGTGACCTTCCACAGCGCTGGTAGTGTAAACTCTCAGAATACTAATGACGATGCGAGTAGCAAGAAGAAATCTCAGGCTGATGGAGACTTTAATCCAACATAGCAAGCAGTTATTAATGAGTTATTCAAGGCATAGAAAGGTAAGAATCTCATTTTGCTAAATTTTATTCAAAAGGTGATGTGAGTCCAGAGGTATCAGAATTCTAGAAAAAGCTTTCACAATCTAAATTCGGGTCATTGACGTAGTTAGTAGATGAATCAAGTTAGCAGCAAGATGAGAAAGTTGATGGAGAAGCTATGGTTCTTGGCTAAAAGGTAAACTACAATGAGATGGATAAGACCCAGAAAAAGGAGAATCTTAACAACATACTTTCAGCAGTTTTTAGTATATTACCCCCACCTCCACCTCCTCCTAAATGAGACTCAGAAATATACAAATAATTGATTAATCTTAATTTCATAAATCCAAAGATATTTCCAAGGCATGGGGTTTTGGGGTTTTGGGGTTTTGGGG